GAAGAACCAGTGCCAGTCATCACAAAGGATGGACGGACTGATGATCAGCCACACTCTGGCTTGTCCACCTCAGACTACAGTGGTGGCCATGGTCAGCCCCCCTACACACTCCTCTCCCATGACTTGGATGCATCTCAATTTTGCAATGATCTGGCCTGGAGCAGCTTGGGGGAAAAAATCATTCTGCTAAATGCTGTGTAAAGTAATGACACTGAGAGAAAACTTGAAAGTCTACAAGGATATTCTGGATGCTCGCCATGAATAATTGCCATGTTGGGACTGGCAACTAAAACAGCACTGCAGAGATATTTACCCAATTTTCATAAAAACTATTATGGCTTTATTTTCAAAGCAAGTAACTACAGAGCTGTGTGGCTTGTCGGTAAATGTTCAAGTGATTAACTGAGAAATGTGGAGGTGGGTGGAAGAAGGCTGTTAGGCATACAAATTTGAGAAAAACAAAATCTAGAGAAGGATGTTTTTTGAACTGTGAAAGCTAAAAGCATTTTGGTCTCCAGAATGATGTTCCATATAAGAGTGCTAAGTCCTAGACCCCAGGAGAGAAGAAAGGGAACATTGGCACATCTGTTTCAATGGTTATTTTTGAACATGCCCAAAGTTAGGTTTTCAAATTCGGGTTTCCTTAGTTAAAATCCTGGTGCAGGGCAAAAGCCAGTTGCAAAGTCAAAGTGCATTTTTTTAGAATTAGCCCTGTTTGCAGGGTGGGAAGCCTCCTTGCCTTTCTTGCTTGCAGGCCTGCCCTGCCCTCTCCTATCCCTGGGGGAATTCTCTCAGCCCAGACCAGGGCCTGCAGGGCCAAAGCACAGGTTTGGCAATGGAGCTGCCAGAGCATCTGTGGGAGTCAGGGAGGGAGTGGGTCATCCTGGGCGAGGTCTGGGACACCTATCCCACTGCCATTCACAGCCTTGCCTGCAAAACTCACTGCAAAACTTACCATCTAGGGTAAAAACAGTAAGGAACTTACACTAGGCTACAGAACCTGGCAACCTCAACAAAACCCTCTGTATCGATACTACCAATGGCTGTCTTCTGGATCCACCTTAGAATTCTTGATAAATCCATCCCTACGACCCTCACTGGTGCCACCACCCCCTCTACATAGCCGGGAAGTGTCAGAGCCGAAGTTAAAGCCAGGTCTGGCTGTCTCCAGAGCTTCTGACCTTACTGACCTTCCGTACTTTGTTTTATCATGTATCCAGAGTAAAACACCTGGCTTTCCTGCTAAAAACACTGGAATGGGGCACATCACAGAACTCCATTTTACTACTGGCCGTTTTCATTAAATATAGGCACTCTGATCTCTTTAAAAAAAAAAAAAATCAGAGAAGGATATGCCTTCCCCTCAACCAGCTCCCAGTGGGTGTGTCCACTTTTTCAAAGGGCCCCCAGTGCTCACTTCTCTATAAAGACATCTAACTCAACCCACATAATAGGGGAGAAAAGACCACTAATACAAATAGAATTTTAGATTTTTCCAGGAAAAGCCAACTCGACTCCACAGGGGTATTTTGCTTTTGCCTTTGTTTTTGTTTTTGTTTTGCCTTCTCTGAAGCCTGTTTTGGATCTGTAGGGAAATGTGTAAGTAAACGGCATCCTGGAAGGATGAAGTAAACATGACCACATCTGAGGGTCAGTAATTTAAGACAGGGCACTGTTTTCCTACAGACAGCATTTCATTCAGCTTTCTAAAAAAATGCTTTTAAACTCATGGTCTAAATTACTTTCTCTAAAAAAGTGACAGTGCTTTTGAGATATGGCTAGAAATATTCCATTCCTATCTCCATGACTATTTCTACCATGTGAAAGACATTCTCCGATGATTTGGAATCAGTATAAAATTAACATTAATAATAACCCATGCAAAATCCCTATGTTTAGTAGCACTTTAATGAAACAATAAATATTTATTTAGATTAGAACATTGCTTCTTTTATTGGAAATCACTTCAAAAGATGGTTCTCTCCACTTTAAATTTGAGCTTTGCTGTATTTAGATTTAAAAAAATTGTAATATTAAAAATTTTTTTTGTAATATTAAATTTCAATGCTAAATTTCCCATAAAGTTAAAATGCTACAAAAATTTATTAATCATAAAATTTAAATGATGAAGGATTATGTCAATAAAGGTACAATTAATAGAACCATATCAGGCCTGAGTAAAAAAGCAATAGTTGTCACATAAAACATTACCACAAAATATTTGCAAAATGTCAACATAGTCACTTGGGTATTTTTCAGGTTGTAAGAGGTGGAGACTCAATTCATTTTTACAATAAAATTATTCTGGGAAAGAATGACACATGTTTTCTAGAGAAAGGTTCATTAGAAATAAAACTTAAAACTTCTGGGGCATGAGTTATATCCCTGTAATTCTGTAGCAGAAGTCTCTTCCCTCCAAACAGGATGCATTGAGTGTTTAACACATTAATTATCATCCTTCATCAAGCATAAAACTAACAGTCAGGAAATCCAGCTGCAGTGGCACAATTACCAACACTCAGAATACACCCTGCAGCAAAGAAAACAAATGGGTTGCTTTTCATTAACAGAGCTTGGCAAACCTCTCCAAAGACAATGTTTTCTTTCCAGCCAGAGTCCCAAAAGGCATTTCAGGGGCTATTTGCTCAGGTAAATCCAGAGAACAAATAAATGGTGAAAATATTTATTTGAATTTCAAAATATCCATTATCAATATATAGTGCCATTCAGAAGAAAATGACATTTTGAAAATGACTCAATCAAATCAAAATCTTTTAAATACAAGGTATGTTTAAAAAAAATACATTAGTGCAAGAGGTTGCTAAGTCAGGTAATATCTTCATGCTTGCTGGTAATACACAAGGTATTAGTGATTTTCATTTTCATGTTTTGTGGCATGCAGGATGATATGTAATATGCCTCTATGTGGGCAATAATGAGCTGTGTGATAACAGGATTCTATTCTATAGGTTTAGGTCCATATAAAGAAAATAATTAGTGACTAGCTTGTGATTCCAATATAACATCATTGAAAAGACTAGACGAATAGCATTCTAGAAAAGTAATAACAGCCTAGTTTAGTTGGTTGATTACTGGACACTTAACATTCTTAATATTACTATAATTATATTATACCTCAACAGATATATTATTTCTACTGAGTTTATATTACAATTAAACCATAAACTGTTACTTAAACCATAATTTAAGGAAGACTCTGGGGATGTAAAAGGCAATGGATAGTCATGTGCCCAAAATATTTGTAATTATATCCTGAACCAGTGCCATCAAACTTTCACGAAATTCTCTGCCCAGAAATCCTCTAACATAATCAGCTTGATCCTCTCTGCAGGATAAATATCATGGCAACAATTAAAGAGCCATATTTTCCTCAGCACAGGAGGCCAGAGCGACACATAAGGATTCTTCCATGCTTGTGGCACAACTTCAATTTTATAGTGTGCTTTATATGCAATTAACTCAAACCTGAACTTCTTTTAAATCGTCTTTGCAGAAGGCATCATTCCATCTTCCACCTAGCTGATTTGAGTTATGTACAGTTGTCTTTCAAAAGACAAACTCTGAAACTGTATTTATTATAAAATAAAATCTGATGCACATACACACCCTAAAACCTAAAACTCTCTGCCTTATCAAAGAATAAGTGACGGGATTCTGTTCAGGCCTGTATAAGAAATGTGAAGAGTGTGAGTTGTAATAATTTTAATCAACATGGCTTGGTCAGGATAGCTGCTTCCTAAGGTGATAAAAGTGAGTAATAAATTATGGGGAAGGAATACAGTCCTGCCAACAATGGTAATATTGATGATGTGATAAGAAAGGCTTTGGGGTCACTGGATACAAACATTTGGCTGGACAAAAGAGGATACCTAGGAAATAAGAAGTCCCTCCCCTCAAGTGCTTCTGTCCAGCTGACAGAGCAAAAAAAGGGGCACATTCTGAATCTGGTTACCATGCAGCATGTCAGCGAGTGCCAATAAATGAGCAAATGACCAGCTGACGGGAGGATTATGAAGAACAAACTTCACTGGCCAGATGTCCTGTCTGGAGTCAGGGCAGGTGCATCTCAAGGTGAGTGAACTATTTTGGGTTCCTCTTGGGACTTTCATTTAAAGGGCCAGGGTCTTAAAGGTTTCTGTCTTAGTACTTTTATAGATGCAGTGACATTATAAACATTTCAAAATCAGAGAGGTGTTTTAAAGCAAAAAAAAAAAAAAAAAAAAAGGCTTTTTAATGTTTTCTCAAGCAAGGTGATGAGTCATTTACAAATTGCCTGAAAAATTAGAAGGAAGGTAATTTCAAGGTATTAACAAGTTCTTTCCTGGTCTTTTTTCCCCCCAAAGATATGACCTGGCAACAAAGTACCTAGTGTTCTCTCATTCTCAAAATCCTTTTGGAACCCAAGTCACTTCCTTCTCGACATGCATTCTCCCTCAGCAACCAAAATGATTCCACATTCAGTTGCAATCCTGAGAATCAGATATTTGCATATATCCCCTTTAAGTTGAGAAATCACTGAGTTTAATGTTGCTTTTTCGACTGGAAAATATTCCTGTAGTCTTACAGGAATCTAATTCTGTATTAGATGATACTCACAGAATAAAATGACATTTGTCAGAAGTAACAGAGGAAAGAAAAATACCTCTTCAAGTGAGCATATTTGAATTTAATAATTAAAAAGTTATGGAGTATACTAGACTTGTACAATCTTCCCTTTAACAAAGTCAAACAAGTCATTTAAAGAAGCAGGACCAGTCCCCACAATTCACCTTCCACTAATATGTACCCCAAGGTTCCAGCTGTGTTTTTGTATTGCTGTGACGAATACTTACACAAAAAAAGACTATACTAAGGGACATAGTTCCCTCTTTGACACTGGGAGTCTGTTGCAGTAATGATGATTGCTGCCATGGACACTCTGATATAAACAAAACATTACTTTTCATAAGATTTTCTAATGGCCTCTCTAGCTTTCATACCTTTAATGTAGTGAATTCATATGGCTGATAACCTTTGAAGCTCTCGTGGATGGCTGCCATAGTGTGAGAAGTTTTCTCCCAAAAATGAAGCAGGGTGGTCTGTAAGGAAAGACAGTACAGCTATTAATGTTTTGAATGCCCAGATCTAGCCACAGGCCCTGGAGAAGGATGCCCACATAGGATTCCAACTCACCTCTGCAGGCTTGTTTCCCATTATGCCCCTCTTTATACCTCGTATTTCAGCCAAACTCAATGCTTCCCAGTTCCCCCAAATACTGCCTCCCATGGCTAATAATGCTCCACCATTTTGGGATATTCTTCTCCCTGTTTTCTGTACTTGTCCCATGTGATCCATCCCCCAAAACCCAGGAATCATTACCAATCTGCTTTTGTGATCTCTCCGCTGATTCGATTTGTCCCTCTTTAAAATCTCATTGGATTTTGTAGAACTTATTTCACTTAGCACACACACCCTGCTTTCTCCTTGAAGTACAGAAAATATAGTCAGACTGTATGTACTATCTCTGATTTCCTTCTGAAACTTTAAGGTCCTTGAGGACAGGGAATTTGGTCTCATTAATTTTTATATTCCCTACAACACCCAGAATTTGGCCTCCCACACTCAGTTGGTGCCCAAAAGCACTGTTGTTGAATATGAGTACTATCCTGAAGGAACTCAGGCTAGAAGGAGACAAAAATTAATAGTTCCTTGAATTATGACAACCTGATGAGTAGGTGAATGACGGTGCCATGGGAAGTAGAGGCCACAACGCAGAGTGAATTCAGAAGAGGGTTTCTGAAGGACGCAATACTCAGACTGGTACGTCAAACAGAGGGGACTATGGAAAGGTACAATGGAGGGGAAAGGCACTCAGGCAGATGGAACCACCTAAGTTAATGCAGGAAAGTGAGAAAGCAGTGTGTGCACAGGAAATAGCTAATATTCAGTTTGAGTAAACTGTAAGTCTACTAGAAGGGAAAGGGGTGGAAAGTAAATTGTGAGCAAGACATTCAGAACTTCATAATGCCCAAACCATACTTTTAGCTCCAACACTGTCTTTCTGTCCCCCTAAACCTCGTAACATTCTTGGTTCACTATAACCAACATCACTTTGTTACCTGGTACGTTGCTAGCATATGAGACAACAGATTGCATCGGCTTGCTCCAAGAAGATCCACTTTCTGACACACATCCATCTTCAATTTGTCAAAGCTTTTTTTGGCAAGGCGTACTTGTGTTTGTACCTATGAAAGTAAAAGGGAGCTTTTGAACCACTCAGACTCTTAGGTGGTTAAAATTTGCCAGTGAGGGAAGACCCATAGTGGGCTTATCTCTCTCACACAAGAAAATACCTTTGAAAATTCCAGGCAAGCGAGAAGATCCTACGACATCCATTCTTTACCTTCAAAGGACTTCAACAACAGTACTGCATATGATGATTTTACAGCAGATTTGCCATCCTATTTGTCAGTCAAAAGTTAAAATTCCTCTCCTCTCAGAGCATTCACTGAGTAACCATGGTGGGGAGACATCTGGAAACATGCACAGTGGCAAAGGAATAACTTTCACCCTGTTGTTGTTTCCCTATATTTCTTTGAAGCTGATTTCTGGTATATTCTTCACTCAGCTTCACTAATGCTAGCATCTTACATAATACAGTACATTTGTTAAAAATAAGAACTCAACACTGACACAATCCTATTAGCTAAACAACAGACATTATTCAGATTTGACTAGATTTTCCATTGATGTCCTTTTTTCTGTTCCAAGATCCAAACGAGGATACCACATAAGAGAATTGTGACACAGCCTAAAAAGCTGATAAACTTTCAAGTTTTTATTACTGAGTATGTACACAAGCAATTCTCCCTCTATCCCTCAGCCATGTAGTAGCTCAAAATGGAGGTCAGTAAAAAATTCAGAAATGTCAATTCTATACATTATTTGATAATAAAATGGAAGCTTTTAAGGGGTGCCTGGGTAGCCCAGTTGGTTAAGCCTCTGACTCTTGATTTCAGTTCAGGTCATGGTCTCAGGGTTGTGGATCGAGCCCCTCTTTGGGTTCCATGCTCAGTGCAGTCTGCTTGTCCCTCTCCCTTCCCTCTGCCCCTCCCCCCACTCATGCTTGTGCATGCTCTCTCTGTAAAATAAATAAATCTTAAAAAATAAAATAGGTTTTAAAAATAATACAGCTACTTTAAAAAGGGTGAACTCAAAATTTCTCCTTCCTCAAATCTGAAGCATCACCACACGATATGGTGTGGCAGGGAAAGCCAGCCAAATACCACTTTATTTCAGATAATTCATGCAGTTGTAGTTAGTAGGTAGATAACTGTTAAGTAATGGTAAGTAATTACTCTGGGAGTAATGCTGACTCTTTAGTGATAGTTCTTCCATCACAGGATACCAGGAGGCAAGGGTGATGTCTATCTTGATCACCATTGCATGTTCAGCACCTAGTGACCTGGTACAAAGCAGGCACTGAATACATATTTGGTGACTGAATGGAGAAATTTTCCAGGCCATTTCAAAAGGTGAAGTGCCTAAGTACCATTTTAAGGTATAACCTACAAAGTTGTTTTAGAAATGATTTTATTTTTTAATAAAAATAAACACGAAGATTATTGATATAAAACATTAATTTTTACCACTGATAATACTAGAGCCACAGCTTATAAAATTATAGGGCATTCTATAATAATAGCAACAATTGATATAACTGTTACCATTTACAACAATTTAACAATTGAAGCAATTTAACAATAGCTACAATTCACAATTAATACAATTGATACAATTGAACAATTAATACAATTCACTTACCACATGCCAGCCATTCTCTTTTAGCCTCTGTTATTACCCTCTCTGACTGCTAAGGGTAAGAGGATTCATCTGGGAAAGTAACTAATGAGCACGGCTGCCATTCTAGATTAGCCTGCCTGACTCCAAAGTCATACAATTCTGCCTCTCAAGCAACTTAACACTGGTCACTGGAAAATCAAGAAGCTCGGAATTATGATTCTATCCAGAAACCCAAGTTTTTCCTGTAGATTATATGGAATTGGAAAAAAATGAGCCAATGCATTTAACACCATTTTGATAGAACTAATATCCTGTATAAATAGGGTCTTGTATCTGTAACTATATAAAACATTTCCTAAGAATTCTTCTGTATCTTTGGTCTACAGGCCCGGGAAAACCAGAGAATAGAAGCCATCTAGCTGCTCCCAAACTGACCACACCATGAGCTTAAATAAATCCGGGAGCTCAATCATTTCCCACTGTAGAGTGGAGAAACTCTAGGCAAAGATGCCTGGGAGCACAGACTATAAAATGAATTTAGAATTAGTTAAAAGTAGTGATTTTCTATCTTCCTTTGAGAGGAATAAGGAGACACAAAAAAGAAAACCCAAGTTGCAGCTTTGCACAGTGGCAGTATCGTAGCCCATGAGTTTATCTGAGGCATGATTATTGCTAATTGAAAACCCAAGTTCCAGAGGGAAGAAATGGGAGAATGTGAAGAGAAAGATGTCTCAAAGCATCTGAGAACCTCACTGCAAGCCCTCACTGGTTCACCAGTTGCTCAGGCCAGGAAGACTTCCTCAATGGGATCCTGAGAGGCATCTGTCTCCACCCTTTTCTTCAGAAGGGGAAGGAAATTGATATGGGTATGAACTTTCACATATGCATTCATTCAGCACATATTTGGTGAGCGCCTATTATGTGTCAGGACTAGTGCTAGGTACTGGGGCCTCTATAAAGGAATAAGACTTGTACCAATGGGTCAGTAAATACTTATGAATGAATGTGCTTAGGAATAAGGACCCTCTAATATTTTAGAGAAGACTAATTAGCAACTATATTATAATGCAATGGGAAAAATACAACAATAAAACTAAGAGTGCAGGACAGGGATTGATTAATGCTGGGGGTGGTGTAGGGCAGGGATGTAGGTTGATGTCATTAAAGCCCCAAATACTGGCCTCCCAGTATCCCCACTCTTTGCCCTTTAACTTTTTAGGCTCCTCCCACTCTGACTCGGGGCTTGGCATGTGACTTGCTTTGGCCAGTGGGATGTTAACAAATGTGATGAAACTGGAAGCTTGAAAAAAAAAATGCTAGCATGTTTCCACTTTCTTGCTTCTATGAGATGGCCATGAGAATATGCCCAGGCCAACCTGAGAATATGTCTAGGCTGGCCAGCTGGAGGGCTGTGAGAGTCTTGTGCATGCAAGAGACACAAGGAGGAGAGCCCAGTTGTCCCAACAGATCAGCCTTTGGCCAGCTGACCCAAAGATGTTGGGGAGGCCACCATGATGAGCAGAAGCCCTCCCTACCCTATAGCTGACCACAGACTCATGAGTGAGCCTGACAGAGACCAGAATTACCCTGCTAACCCACAGACTTGTAAGCAATAAGAAATGCCTATTGTTTTAAGATACTGAATGTTAGAATTGCTTATTTCACAGCATTATTGTGGCCACAGATAACGGATATAAATGATAAGCAGGTGGACAATAAAGGCTTCTGAGATGAGGCAGGGGGATATCTGAGCATGAATAGGAGTAAACAATAAATACAACGTATTCACAAGACTGGCCTGCTAATGGGGAGGTTCGAGATCTTCTAATTAAATGCAAATTAATTTGGGAGACTGTGGATTTTGCTTTTTCCTTTACGTATTCTTTTATCATATAAGAAAACTTACTTCAGTTGCTTATAATACAAAGCTCATGCATTAATATCCTTTGAAATGTGCCTTAATTTATTTTGTTTAATTTTGTAAAGTAATTTTAGAAACCTAGAAGAAGACTTCAACATTTGACCCAGTGAGTTCTGAAAGGCCATATGCTTTGTGTGTCAACAATGATTATTAAAATACTTAATGCACTGCTGAGTTTCCAAATGTTGAGTCCTTTCCCTGCCAAACAAGGAGGATGTTACACTGTTGGGCATTTTGAATATGGTAAAGTTCATTTAATATTTTGTGCTTCATGTCTACTCTCTAAAACACATTTCCAGTCTGCAGCCCAAGGACAAAGCACTGAGGACACAGTCAAGCATAGGCCACCATCAAGAGTCCAATTTCATATGCCTCCAGATGCACTTAAGTGAAAAATGTTTTATTATTCCTTTCAATCCCAGATAAATTATATTCAATTACATAAACATCTTGAGGAGCTCCTGTGGTTCTCAAAGTTCTTTAAAAATATCTTCAGTCAAATAAATGTACCCTTTGTCTATTTTTTAGTTTTATTTCTGTTGCCCCACCTTTCTCTTCTTATTCTCTAAGCTCTAGGAAATGATCACGCATATTAAACTCCCTTTAGTGTGAGTCCTGCCTTCCCCAGGCTGCAGAAATTCAGTTTATCAGAAAAGGGAGCAATGTCTTCAGTGCCAAAACTACAGGGCATTTCTCTGTACTTATTTCTCCTAATGTGAAATTCTACTTCTTATAGCCCCAACTTGAATTACATATAGTGAAGTCAAAGCTATTCATCCTCTTATTTCAATCTAACTTCCCCATCCAGTGGGAAAGGTCTTTATATTACTCCATAACCAAATAATCTGAGAGTGGTTTTTAAATTTTTTTGTGTTTTCCTTCCTTTAAAAACAAAATAAAGCAAAACTACAATCCTACTCTTACTTTTACATTTTCTTCCAGGAAATGACTCTGCCTTCCACAATCCACCCATCCAATCATTTAGCAAATATTCACTGAATATCTTCTACATGCTCATAGTAGTGAGTAAAGCAGAGGTGGTCTCTGCCCTCATGGAGCTGACAGTCCAGTGGGCATTTTCACATCAGTGAGGGCATAATATCAAACCAAACAAAGAAAAGCCCCACTGCCCCACAAGAATGATTTAGCAAGAATCTAAGAGAATATTCTCCAAGAAAGCAGTGCTCAAATTCTATTCAGAAGGACTGAACATGATTAACTATGCAAGAATACTCCAGCAGAGAGAGGAGCATATGCAAAGGTCCTGGGGTGAGGGCAATAAGGCAGGTCCCTGAAAGCCAGTGTAGCTGGGTTGCTGAAGCAATCAGAAGGATAGTAGGAGATGAGGCAAGAGAGGTGGGCTGGGGCACATTCTAGGGCACAGTCCTTGAAGGCATATGCTTAGGATTTTAGTTTTTATCCTAAAAGCTGCAGAAAAACAATGGAGGTCTTTAACCATGGGAGAGACAGAATTTTCAGTTTGAAAAGTCTACTCATTATAGTATGAGGATGGATTGGAGG